AAAATTTTGAGCAGATATTAATCAATTTCATGACAAACATCTGTTTCAGTTCTTCTGTGTTTTCGATGCGTAAATGCGCGAGTTATACATTACTTATAAACCACCATCATGCTTATCTTTTGTTTCTACGCCATTATTCTAAAATATTGCACGGCAGTTTAAGGGTAATAATGATGTGTTTTTTAAACGTTTTTTACTGCACATATCTCCACTTTTGCATCGGATTAATTTGCCGTATAATCAAGCACTTTTTGTTTCATGTTTATTAGCGAGATAATCAGCATTTGATCACAATGCTTAAAATATTACGCTATTTTGAGAACTGCAGTATCTTTCATCCAAAATAAGAACGCACTAGTAACCTAGTAACACTATTTGTAATTTAATGACTTTGGAAATATTCTGAATTCAGTTCATTGTTAACATCAAACCGGGAATAAAATCAACAATTTAATTACCTATCAAATAAGCACGCGATCAAAGTATGAACTACTTATTCGTTATCAGGCATTCACTATAAATATTATGTTGCAGAAAAAATGTATTTCGTTCAAACTTCAAATAAATATCTTGATTTACGATTAATTCGGCGCTTATCATTTATTTATTCTCTTCTTATTCTCAAATTAACAAATATCAAAAAAAATATTTAAGATAAATGCTCAAAGTTATTTGGCTACGAGTTGTATATTTTATCAAGTTTAAAGATCATTTATGAGAAATTCATCTCTGAAATAACATTTTTAAAACGGTTATTTTCATCTCTGGATTAAACCTTCATTAAATTGCCTCGAATTAAGTTTTAATGCAAAATAATTGAAATAATTTCAGAAATATATATATTGTATTTTTTGCGTACAAGTCAATGCTATTCATAACAAGTTTAAATAAAAATAATTGGCACATTGTGAAAGATAAATGGCCCATGGCTTTGAAGCGTTTGTTTTATATTTGTAAGAGATTCGCCACTAGATAATATTTTAAACAATAATTATCGAATGAAAACGGCACTAAACATACAGTCTTTATATTTATGTGCCTATATTATATTTAAAATTCATGAAAGGATACAAGGAAATATTTCAGAGACAAGAAATACCTTTAAGTGAAGTAAGTAAAGTCAAGTATAAAGTTATGTAAAGTAAACTACTTAAAATAAGTAAAGTAAGCAAGTAAAGGAATATCAAGTAACGTAAAGTAAAACCAAATGTAAAGTAAAGCAATTAAGATTAGTAAGGACTGTTAGTAGTAATTAAAGTAAGTAAGAAAGTTTAGTATAGTAAGTATGTAGTAAGTTGTTTTACCAGGGATACTTTAATTCCAGCTGTAGCTTTTAGCGAAATTAATTAAGGTATACAGTGATTTTGAATTTTGTCTTCAAAACATCCAATATTATTATTATCGAAGAATGTTCTATGTCATGAGTAAATAAGAAACGTATGAGTGCATTGTCTTGTGAAAACAGCATTGAATGACATTTATCATTTTAAATTACTTGACCTTCTCTTAAACCTCAAATATGTTTTCTTAACAGAAATATAAGCGCTTCGTGTCCATACTTTCAACTCAAAAGTGCTAAATATGGTTTATTTATAAATAAATTGTTATACTTGGCATTTTTATGACCTTGATAATGTACAAATAAAGGGACAATTGAATATTTGCTATAGATCATGTCAGAGCAAACCTGTCTTTTCCCACATAACCATATATCTGCCTATTGTAAATCTACTAATGCATTTGAAAACAATTTAAATTATTAATACCGAATTTCTTTTTCACTAAGTAAGAGTTATCATCATTTCAGTGAAATTTATGTCTAAGTAATTAAGTTACAAGCAGCATCCGATATGTTAGCCTGCGGGTTCAAAACTATGCAATCTGAATTATTTTATAGCGTTATATAAACACAGAAATAAAATGGAACATACATTTTATTTTAGACCTGAACATAGTACATCGCATTGCAAGTATTTATTCAAAACAATAATTGCACATCACATGACCATGTTTATAAACAAATACAATATATTTATGAATCATTTAAGACAAAATATACTGCGCACAATGAATGAGATAATATAGAGTCATCAGATACTAATATCAATGTTAAAATTTGACAGTAACAGAAATAGTACTTCACATGATATTGAATCCCAGTGAGTAAGACATTCCACTGAAAGTAAATGGATGTGAAGCAGCAGTAAACTTAATACCTTCTTAATTCCATCTTTTCGTAAACACATGGTATATGATTCAGAAGAATTCTAAGAGTAATTTCTTTATTATTGCTTTGTCAGGTCTTAAGCAAACCCTATATTTCATAGCAACACAAAATCATTTTTGACACAATTCAATGTATTAATTAAAACGGTAAAACAGTAACCTAGATGATAACAAAAATACCTTTGAGATGTCTTTAACATAAACCAATATGGTCCCGTATTACATAGATATAACTATGTAAGTCTTGAAGCATTTTCTATATTGATTGCAATGAACACTTATTTCTGAGGCCTTTTAACGTTATAAATGATGACTGACGCATATATTCAATCCTTTTTTATATTTTATTGTTGAACAATGTAAAAGTTAAAAGTCGGCTTTTTTTTCAATAAAATTTTAAAGGCGATCAACTGAGTACAAGATGCCAATGATAATGCCCACTTATGAAAACTGTTTGAGAATGTTTGAATAATATTACCATTTTTAGTATAAAATGCAGAGTTTTAGTATTAATTTATACTCTTTGGAATTTGTTACAAAACTCTTGAATGTCTTCTGTCTCGAATATCTTTATCACATTTCAAATAGCTGAATAATGACATTACAATTTTCAAAGACTAAATGCTTTCACAACATAACTCTAATGAATTGATGCCAAATTCATTTTGATATGGAAACGAAACGAAAGAAAAATCAATTTTTAACAAGAGCAACTTTAATGTTGTGTTTTTTTGAGTGTTTTACAAAACTCTTATTGAAATGGAGCTGACATTTTTCAAAGCCAAAATGACGTTTAACATTTATATTCTGAACAATAAGTTACTCGTGGTTTATTAAAATATTGCTCTCTTTTATAAATACTTTTTAAGTTTTGCAGGTGAAATAGAGACTTTGAGTTATTAATATTAAACAGTACAATAGTTTGAAAATAGAAATTTCATATAAGAAATCGAAGAATACGTAAAAAGTACTTAATACGCTCAAATGAATGATATGTCAAATCATGTAAAATCATATATCCTTAAGATTGTCCTTTTTATTAAAGTTTTGCTTAAGAAACCCAGACTTTTGTATATCCGCCTTCTAGGTCGAATATGTATTTGTGTTTACGCGTTAAATTTAGATATCAGATTTTATTATATCAAAGGCTTGCTGCCAGAAAATATCTAAATAATTAGAAAGGAGGACTCAAGTAACCACAATCAATATCTGCATTTTCCAAATAATTCGAATTCCGTTAGCATTATATCGTTATATATTATTTTCTTTAAGATATGCACATCAAAGCAAACAAGTCTTATAAATCGTTAAATACTAATAATTAATGTTAAAATCGAGTGAAAGTAATGTTTGGTCTTAATTCCTTTTCCTTGATCTTTTTCTTAATGAATGTATTGGCTACAGACAGTTTTTAGCATTTAAGTTATTTGCTAACAAGGTACAGAACACCTACAATTTCTAAATTGTTTTAAATCATCCAACAAAAAGCTATTATTGATGGCAGTTCAAGGTGAATTATGACGAGTTCCTTCAGATCAGTTCTGAGAAAAGTCAGAATTACTCAGTACTTGTACAGATAATGAAATCCCCAAATCCTCTCCCATACATATTGATGTTGTAAAAAGAAATGAATAGTGATCTTATTAAATACCTGGTCAAAAGACATGTTGTCGGATTTAAGTGTTTCTTATCGTTGGTAAAATGATAATATTAGAACTGTCGTGTAAATACTATTATACACAAAATATATGATCAGCAACTGCAGCAACGTTATGCGTAATTTAATACATTTTATAAAAGATAAAATTTTAAGTTGATTTAAAGTCAATTTATGCACCATATATGTTTATTTGTGTTTAAAGTAATAAGACAAAACATCCATATAATTTTGCACAAATTAGCTATAGAAGCAGGTAGACATAGGAATATGGAAAGAAAAAATCACAAAATTCAATATGAAACAAGTATCATTTTGTAAGATACACTGATACACGTATTTGCATAAATCTGATAATTTATAAGGAGTGAAACAATATTTTGGACGTCGTATTGTACCACTAAACAGTAACTTGCTGATGTGCATGGATATGATTTTGCCATTAAAACAGTTGAATATTTGACCTGATTTGCTCACTTTTTTTTTCAAGAATATCTCTGAAACACCATTTCGTTATTAAATCAGAAATAATGGTAAAGGTTTTTGAAATTTGTGTTTTGTTTTTATAATTGTAGAAGAATTTAAAATGAATTCGAACTACCTGTTTTAAAAAAAATATTTATAGTTATTTTATACATATGCTGTTATAATCAAATCTAAAACCGAAACGTAATTAGTTTAATGAATTAGTCCGTGGTCATAAAATATCCTTTTATGACTTAATTTATCGGTGCATGTATATCATAATTTTATTATTATAATAATGAACTTTAACACTGCCGTTTTTAATTAAAAATTTGTAATCATTAAAACTTTAACAATCCTCTGACCACGGTCATTTTATACATTTTGTTTCATAGCGTGACTATTTTGGAGAGATGACCCTTGATTTTACGACAATGTCCATATTGACCCGTTCACATTCTGTAGAGGTATTTGTTATTTGAAGCAGTTTGAGGGTGCCATATTTAGTTCTACTGACCACTGGTCAGGTACTTCAACTATTGTCACCTGCTTAGTTTCTCATGAGAAGGTAGTGCGCGATGGACATGGTTGGGTATAAAAGAATTCAGCCTCAACGTAATTGTTATATTCGTCTACAAGGCAAATATTCACGATGTTCTCGTGCGCTCTACTCTTCGCAATTTATGGTAAGTGTTTCTTGATACTATTACTGTCGGCGTGAGCTTTTGTATAATGCATCATTTTTTTATTATTTAGAAACATTTATTTATGTTGATATACGATCAAATAAAGTGTTGAAAAAAAAAATGCACATTATATTAAATCATAAAAATGATTGACTGGTTGACAAATTTAAACTTTAAAATAACATTTTAATAGCGTGGCACATTTTCAACTCCTTTTAACAAAATTCAATTTATTGCAGTGACTTATGAAAATTGCTATTTAAGATAAAATAAAAGACTGAAAAAGAAGCACTTTTAAACGACAACACGTAACTGAACGGTAAATTCTTACATTTTTAGATAAACAAATAATCATTTTATAACTTGAAATGACTGTATACTGTTACTAGACCCATATTCCGTCCAAACATTTCAAAACCTGTAAATTCACATTGTTTGTACATTAGTATCATGTATCTCATACATTGAGAAAAACAGTTTCAGCAGTGTTATATATGTATAATCAAATCACTGTTGTCACATTTATTGCATTGAGTTTCTATGTTTAATTAAAAAAACACCTTTAGAACATTTCAAAAATTGTAAAATCACAATTTGTTTAACAAAATGGATATTATGTATAGAGACAAAGTTTTAGCAGAAAGTATTTGTGTTTTTTTACAAAATTATGCAATACAAATTGTGATTTTCTCTTTAAATATTTATTTTTTTTTACTTAAAGTGCTTTGTAAAAGTTTCGCCCCCAAGGGACAATCAAATTTCCCGTAAATTCAGAAGATTTGAGGGGCTTCTCCCCTTCCTTTTTGTATTATAAGTTTTTGAAAAAGCCTTTTTGGGTTTTTTAGAAAAAACATATATTTTTAAAATTTTCATTTCCTTATTTGAGTTTTTTTTTTTTTTGAAGGGTTTGTGGCCTCAGACGAGGGGTGGGTTTCCCGGGTTTTTAGTAAACCCTTTGGGATGGAAAGTCGAGAATTATAAATGGTATTTAAGCTTTCACCATATAGTTTTTCCCCCCCAGGGGCTTTTCCTATCAAGTGCTTTCTGGAAAAGGGGGTCACACAGTTGGGGGTGATCTTAACGGGACAAAGGGTTTTGGGTTTTTACAGGGGGCCCCCTGTGTTGAAGGAAGGTAAATTGTTAATCCGGACACAATTTGTTCAAATAATTTGACAACATTGATTTTTGTAAAGCCGAACTTTTGATTCATTAAGAACTTGTGTCAAGTCGTAATTTACATTTTGATTAAACATATACATCATTCACAACAGTATATATCATTGATGCTTTTATATAAAACTCTTAAACATTTACCCTATATTTGAAATAAAAGTATATTTTGTTATTACAGAATTTAACACATGATAATATGCACATTGCAAAATTTTAATTTAGAATACGAAATCTCACTTTTCTTAAAAGCTAGTTTAAAAAATACAAAGATAAAATCATATTCCATTCAGATATTCATTTACAAAATATAGGAGAGAAAACAAAAAAATATGTTAAAAAGCAATACTTTTAAAACAGATTTCACCTGTTTTTGTAGTTTATATAACTATATAAAAAGCCAGACAGAAAGATAAAAATAAATTGTTGGTTTTTAAGCGGGATTTATTCGGTGAAACTGTTTTGCTTTTTTCGGATTAAGGAGGTTCATTTTCATTTAAACATTATCACTTTTATTGTTCTTTTTTCTAAACACTTAAATACCTTATATATCTTATACATTATTATGAAATAATAGCATAAAAGCAAACTCATATTAAATGTACAATGGATAAAGATAACAGCTGATATTCTTGTAATTCTAATAAAGAACTGAAGCCTCGTTGGCGGTTGTTGTTGATCTACACGATTACACTAACCCTGGAAACTACATTTGGTTTGATATCGCCGAAATCATCATGGTAAGTGTCTTGTTAACAAAATCATCAATTCATCATCGGTCGTAAACGATATATTGAACGCCCTCTAATGCAAAGTACAACTGTTACATTTTCTTACTTACATTTGTACTTTGAATTGGAAATGGTTGAATATTTTATACGACCGAATGCAGTAATAGGTTAAATCATTAACAATTATTATTGAAGCTAAATTTTAGAGAAACCTTGTGGGCTATTTGTACAACTGTCGAGTCTGGTTCTAGGAAAAAACTAGAACTAGTTTCATATGTCTGTTTAGTTTGAAATTATGCCCAAGGCGTTTATAACAATATTGTTTTAACTCTGACCTAAGCTAAATATATCTTTATATAGAAGTCTTTGCTATTTTGGTAATACGGTGCTTCCTCTATAGTGTGATCCATAATCGATAATTAACGTATATCTAAAATGGAATAATTAATAGGAAAATGAACCTCACAAAAAGTAATATATACTTTTGCTGATAATTCTTTGTCTTCCGAATGATTTCTGTATTGGTTGAACTGTTATTTTATTTCTACTGTCTTATAGCATAAAGACTACAACAAAGGAACTGGAGGTTTCCCGAATGATGTGGCGCTCCTTCGATTAGTACCGCATGGACAAGATATCACAAAGAACATCATCAAGATTGCAAGAGGAACCAATGATTATACTGGCCAGATATGTACCATCAGTGGTTGGGGGGTCAAGGGTAAAACTCTCTGCTTGTTACATTCTATTTTAAATTGTGCCAACTCCGACAACTAAAAAATTTGCTTTTTTAATTTAATTGTAGAAATATTTTTTTTTAAATGTTAAAAATTTGTTTACGAGCGTTAAAAAAAATAAAAAAATCAAATTTGTTTTTGGTAAAAAATGGGGAAACGATGATTTATTCAAACTGTACTTGCAGTTGAAGCCAAATCATACTAGACGAGATTTTTAAATGAAGGGAAGTTATGTGGCATTTGTCCAATTTTTTACACATACGTAGTTTATCAATTAAATATGACAAAGATGTTTGAAAAAAATTAATTACAGTTGATGGCTCTGGTGCTTCGAAACTGAAGAAAGCTGATGTATCTGTGTTAAGCATGAATCAATGTGTGAACTACTGGGGAGATAGGAACATTCTTGACCAACATGTTTGCGTCAAAGGATACGATACCACCGAAGGAAGCGGATCTTGCAATGTAAATATATGATTGCATTCTAAAATTAGAAAAATCGCTATCAAAATTTGAAATAATGATATGTTTGATCCCTTGCATCATCGTTTGTTCGTGTTAAATTCAATTATAAAATTTCGTAACAAATAATTATTTTATTATGCATACAGGGTGACAGCGGCGGACCATTAGTCTGTGGAAATGAGCTCGTTGGTGTAACATCTTGGGGATTCTCCGGATGTCACCAAAACGGTGTTGTGACACACCCAAGTGTGTACGCTCGTGTTTCCTACTTCTATGACTGGGTGAACGCTAACTGCGGAAACTGCAATGTCTAGATTACTTGTTTGTTTCTTGTTCTTTTACAATTGAAATAAAAAGCAAAGTTACCAAATTGTTTTGATTATGTCTTGTCAGCAAATAAACAAGGAAAATTCTAATAAGGGGCGTTTAGTTAATTTAATCAGGAAACATTATAGCTACGTACTGGGAAAAAAACGTAAAACCTTGTTTTTCTGCCTCCAACCACTTGAAAAAAAATCACTTTTACCACTTTTGGGGCATTTTCATAAATTTTTGTTTAAATTTTTTCAACTATTGAAAATTTAGGGGGAAATTTTTTTTTCATATTACGGAAATTTTTGTTTTTTTTCCAAATTTGGACAGAAGTGAAATTTTTATAATTTTTTTTGCGGGTTTGAAGTAATGTGTAGCAAACCTTAAATTTTGGGTTGGGTTTTTTCACGATAATTACTTGTTTAGTATCATAAATAATACATGTAATAATTATGTCAAATATTTATGTTTGAATCACCTTCTTGTGCAACGTTTTGAAATTCCCAGCTGCTGATTATCCCATGTAATTTAACATTTTGGTAAACTGCTGCAACTTTTAATGCAAAACAAAAGTTTTATCATGGAAGAATAGTTCACAGATAACACAGTAATAGAATAGAGAAAAGGAAAAAAACTTGTAACATCCTTATTTGTATTTAAGAGTTGTGTTACCAATGAAAAAGTATAAGCGCAAAACTTACCAATAAATAATGACGAAGTGATTGGCAATTTTATTTTTATAATTTAAGTATTTAATTGTATTGTAATCATAAAATATGTCCTGATTACGACGTACATAAACACATGAATCCAGAAATCAGTTAACCCAAATTTTTGTGTTCATCAGGAATCATCTATTTCAAAGGTTAAGAAATCTAGCTGCAAAAGGGCTTCATGTAGCACAACAGCTGTGGGAACTAATTTTATGATATCTTAGGAGCTAGAAAAGACGTTTTTTTATCTCTCCCTATTCTTTCTGGTTTCTCCATGTCTTTTCTTACATCATAAGGATCAAGATCGGATAAAGGGTTCATATTGCCAAAATTATCCACATTTGTTTATTTTATAACCAAAGGATTAATGTTATAAAGAAATAAAAATTTTTTGGATCAAGGTAATAATGATACATTAAGCCTATATTTTTCCGGGAAAACGTCAGTTAAGAAGAAATGTGTAATTGATAGTAAAATTAGTGTAGGACAAAGATTTAATTGGATTAAAATATCCGCAAGAAATAAAAACATAATTTTATTTTTTTATTTATAATGATTTGGAGTTGCTCTGCCGCAGGGTCATTGAGATTATTTTAGTTCAGTCGTATAAAAAGCTTTAAGTGTTAAACACACTTTCAAATCCTTTCTTTCAACCAATTAAAAACCGTGTACTAGGCATCAAGGGATTCGTGCTCAATGAAACAACGTTTTTGCCCAGCAGCATCTTAGCTGTCCTTTGATAAGCTAGTCAGACGCGTTACCACTCCGCCATTCTGTCACATAGCTGAATATAGCGATCCTTATGTTTCAATATATTAATATTTTATCATTTCTTAGTAAAGCTGACCCTTGTGTTTCAATATATTGATATGTTATCATTTTTCATACCATCGTTTTAAGAGTAAAGTAAGAAAAAGTCTACATTTACTTCGATTCTAATACAACCAATACATGAAAAATGTTACCGTCCCTTCTCTGCGAAATGCATATTCGGTGATATTTAAATTTTTTACAACCATATATTATTAATAGGACTTTTTACAATTGGTTATAAATTTTACTTATCATGATTTTGGCAATGATGAAACATATGATTGTTTTACAATATTAATTTTAATGATAAGATTTAAATACAGATATTGATATGAAATAATAAACTACAACAATTATACTGATCATTAAACGAGCCGCGTCACGACAAAACCAACATAGTGGGTTTGCGACCAGCATGGATTTAGACCAGCCTGTGCATCCGCGCAGTCTGCTCAGGATCCATGCTGTTCGCTATCAGTTTCTCTACTTGTTATAGGGTTTGTAAGCGAACAGCATGAATCCTGATCAGACTGCGCGGATGCGCAGGCTGGTCTGGATCCATGCTGGTCGCTAATGCATAACGTTGGTTTTTCGTGACGCGGCTCAAATTACGATAATCATAAAATAATGTCATAGTCATGAAGAAGATTACATTGTATTTATTATAGGACAAAGTGTAGCAATTACATGTATATGAAAGTGATTTATAAATTTATAACAATATTTTGCAAAAACATATTATTAAATTTGTATTCGTTTTTAAAGTTATTACCAGGATATTTGTATGTAATCCCGATATCTTAAGAATATAGTTTAAAAATATACATATAGAATTTTATAAAAAGATATATTTCAAAGATATGTAACAAATTGTATAATAAAATAGTCATTTTTCATCGAAAATTATCTTGGCAATTGATGTAAACAAGATGTTCCAAAATTGCTTACTAAATTTCTTCTAATTCATCGAAACATTTGAAAGACGCAGATATCATAATATTCAAAGATCATTAAGAATTTGTAAATTTTGTAATTCTTAAGTCATTAAAAAAGGTTATTAGTTCCTTCATAAGCCAAAAAAAGAAAACGAAATTACTAAATTGTCAAAATATCTATATTTAGCTAACTAAAAGATAACTACAACACGAATAGTCAATTATTCAAATTGTAAATTAAAATTTGATTAAATACTAAATTAATGTTATCTGCAAGATTTACATGATCTTCTTGACTACATGTACCACTACACATAATTAAATTGCATTGCAATATAGAGGTTAGTTTTGTACGGTACATAAATACATTAAATTTGATTCTGTAATTGTTTTTGTTGTTTTCTTAACTTTTTCATCATTTATACTGGTTATGTTCTGAATATCAAAATCAATCCTTTATATGGTTATGTTCTAGTTCAATATCAAAATCAAAACCTTTCTGATGAACAAAAAAGATAGCATTTGCTACTTACTTGGCCGTAGTAAATCAATAATTTGTTTTTATTTGTGTGAGTTATATTTGATAATTGACAGCGGATATTAGTCTGGCAACATTTTACTTCCGATTACATGAAAAAGAAAAAAGAGAAGAACAAAATAGACACTCCTGAATGAATGAATGTTACACATCGCTCCCTGATAAGGAGTGTGAGAAAATAAAAAAATCATTTGATTGGATTATGCCATAGTCTATTTTATCATATTGACAAATACTTCATTTAAAAAAATTCAAATTATTGAAAATACCTACTTTTTAACAGACTGAGTATAAAACAATGTTGCAAAACTGGATGAAATTTATACAATTATTCTTTAATAATAAATACAAAAAAAACATGTTGAGTTTTCAATTTGAAAAATGAAATTAACTGCCTTTCTAGTATGTCTTGGCTAATTGTTTTTTGTGTTAATTTGGGTTGAAAAATAAGAATACCCATTGCTTCATTTTTACTTATAAACGTTATTACATGTAGAGTCATTATGTGATATTTAAATTTTATATATGAATTGTAATTTACTAATTATAGTATTTGTTTCATTGTAAACTTAATCAACCTAATCAAATCATGTAACGTTAGGTACCTGATTTTATCATGTTAACAAAAGGATAAAGTTATTTAGGAACTTCACTGAAAGCCTAAAACTTAAAATTTGAATTTCTCATGCAGTTGGATGACATTTTAGGTTCATTTGTCATATACATATATACAATAAAAAATACCTTTAATACATAAACAGACTTCTCATTTGAAGCAACATTTAGGGAATCAATAATCATAAAATGTTTAATATGTACTTGTTTATGTTCTGGGTTGTATAGCTTTACGTCTCTTACCACAGCGATATCATTCTGGCTATATTATCTCATATACACCGTAAGCAACCTAATCAACTAAACAAATATTCTTAATTCTTTAAGTTAATGTTTTCTTCCCATTTAAAAAAAACATGCTTTATGCCCTACATGTTCAGGGAATGGCAGGAAACAAACAATTGATTACCAAGCTGTGTCATTAGTTCAAACTTCGATAACCACTTTTCATATTAAAGACCAATGCAATGAAAAGTTACAACTTTTATTTTAATAAAGCATGTATGATCATCAACACAAGCTGTATTATACTTTGCTAATTGTAGTTTCTGAAAGTATACAGTTGTTTTGATATTAATTACATAGGAATAGTCGCTTTAAAATAAAAGAAAACGAGTTTCAGAGACCGATTATCGAAGCATGGTCCCCTTGAGACTCTAGGCCATGTCACACTGAACAATGTGTACCCCTGTTAAGAGACTGTATAACAGGATGCTGGTAATCTTAGCGACTTCCTCGTGCACATTAAGGATCATAAAAAACAAAACGTGCCTGTTTTAGCTGCAAATCATGATCATGCAATCATTTATTTCAAACAAGCCTTTGATTACTTGCATATTTCCGAAAATATTAAAAGTATTAGGTTTTTGTTGTTTTTCATTTTGTGTTGTATTTCATTTTAACGGGTTGTGTGTGCGTTGGTTGTTTTGTTGTGATGTTGTTGTTGTTATTAATTTTTCCTTTGTTGTGCGCGTATTTTAGATAAAACAATGAATTATATTAGTCGAAATTAAAGAAAAATTAGCGAAAATAAATCATTCAAATTTCAGTAATAATAGACCTAAGTGTGATATTAGCCAAAAGTTGTCCGCTGTTTAATCCATTTCACGTGTTTGAATATAAAACTTATAAACAATGTTTATGTTTAATGTTACATTGATAGATAAACGTGGCCAAACGGGGTTTACTATTATTAGGAAAATTATGAAATCATAATACGATAATCTTAAACTTAAAAAATAAACATGTATAAAAATTTAAGCTTCAGTAAAAGCTTTAGTATTAGATATCTAACAAAAAATTTGAAATTCGGACCAATTAAATAACATCAAACATTTTACTACAAAAGCTTGATAACCTCTTCCCAAAGGAGACAAATATTGGAAAAATATGCCAAAGTTTGCCAAAAATAAACTTGTAAGCTCTGACACGACGTTAT